TTTATTTTTTAGTTGATTTAAATTTTTGTATTTCTCAAGCTAATTCTTTTAATTTTTTTCTATATTATTATCAATTTTATTTTTATTTTTAAATCTCAAATATAGTTGAATTATTTATAAAATATTTATAATATAAGTATTAATTACTCTATTTTCTAATTTTAATTTTTTTTAGACTTTATTTCAAATAAAAAATTTCTTTTTAGTTGCAAATATCTTATTTAATTTATATTAATATTATATTTTCATCTATCTATCTTTAATAGAACTTTAAAATATAATTATTAAAAGATTATCTAAAGTATTTATCTTTATATTTATTTAATAAGTAAGTAATTATAGTATTAAGAGTAGTTAAATATGATATTAACTTCTGAAATAAAAGATTTTTTAATTTCAGTATAATTATGATATTCTAGTTTATAAAGATTGCAATATATAATAGCTATATTTATACTTTTAAGATTTAGTTTATTGAAATTTTCAGTTATTTACTTGACAAAATATTACCTATTCTTCTTTAATAATTAAACTAAATATTATTAATTATAGTTATCTATAGTAAGAGATCTTTCACTTTATAAAGCTGAAGATGTCAGTTTATCTTTTTTTTATTTATAAATTACATTATTTATAATTATTCTAGATATGTTTAAGATTCTGAAAATAGCTATTAAATTGTGTTAACTCTTATGAAGTTCAATAATTTTATCATGTTAAAAGAATATAAGCTCTTGAATTTTTGGTATTTTTTACAAGATTAGTATTAGATATAGTGAAATTTTTTGATTTTTGGAATCTGAAGAACAGTCATAAATAGATAAAAAAAAGCTTGTCTAATTTGGTATAATCTGCACTGATTTATTGTCATTTGAAGTTAAGATATTGATAAAAAATTATTAGATGATTGGCAAGTGATGGATACTTTTGAGCATCTATTGTACATGTAATATATTTGTGAATATTAAAATTTGTCAAAGTAGTGAAGATCGAATAAATGATATTGTTATTGAAGTAACTATAAATTCCACAATTTTTTAATTCCTGCCTAACAGAAAGATTTTAACTAAATTTACATTTGATTCTATACTACATGTACATGCATGTCTTATATGTATTTTGTAATTTATGATAGGAGATGTGCATGTATTGCGCATGCACATTTCTTTAGATTATGATATCCCAAAAAATATGCATCTAATGAAATTTTCAAATTAAACATTATTCAGGTGTTTAGTTTGATATAACATGAAAAAATAGTAAACAAGAAGACTAATTTTAATTTTATAAGTGAATATAGATACCTATGTTTTCTAAAACATACACTAGAAAATTTAACCATTGCTCCTGCGAAGTACACGTATTTTGCTTATTAACTTAAAAAGTGTATATTTTTTTGTTACTTAAAAAATGTATATTTTCTTGCACAAAAGAAAAAAAATATTTTTTTGATTTGTTCAAGTTGATAAATTTAAATTTTTAAATTAATTTTAATGTCTTTGATTATATCATGTAGAATCTGTGCACTTTGGTTTAATTATAGCATCTTTTATAGCTTAAAATATAATGCACAATGAATTTGGCCGCTTACAACATAAAGTGTTAAATCAATAAATGGTTTTTCTGGATTCAACGAAGACGTTGCATCAGGTTAATATCCCAAGCTTGATTAGCTGGTAATCCAGCATCATAAACACCGGTACCGAAAATTTATTTGTCAGCTTTGGTTTGTGCTGTACTTATCACAATGACTCTTACCTCATCATTACCCCAAAGAGGTCCGCAGTGGGTAACGGAAATAATAACTTGGGCATGACAATGGCAATGCCAACGTTAACGTTAACAACGGATCATAGAATGGCAACAGCAATATTGGAGATGTTAACGGAAATGCAAACTACAGTTATGCTAATGAAAATGCTAGGGGAAACGCAAACAGTGGTAGTGCCAACGGTATTTTCTTTGTCACAAATAATGATAAAAATAATTAATGTAAGCAAGTTGTCTTTAAAAATAATATTTAATTAAAATATAAATAAAACTAGTTATTATAGATCTATAATAAATAAATATTAATTTAAAAATATAATAAAAGTAAACAAAAATAACATATTAAAAAATTAAAGTGTGCCAGGGGAAATGCAAATTCCGGTGCTTACAACGGCAACGTCAATGAAATGCAAATTCCGGTGATGCCAATGGAAATGCTAATGGAAGAAATAGCAATTAAAATGTGAATGTAAAAACGTCAATTTCGAAATAAAACCTAATTCATAGGGACACGATAATATTATTTTTCGTTCTTTTACTCGTCTATCTTATCGCTATATTCTCCATTAATAAAAGTATCTTGGTCAAATCATAAATTATAAAAATTAGTTGTTATAGAATGGTGCTCAAAAAGTTATGGATTGCCTGAAAGATAAAGTTCATATTGTAGAAATTTAACATTCTGTTTCTTTTGAACACTAAGTTTATCTGAGTATAATCAATGTTTTGCAAACCGCAACGGTTTTAAAATTTCCGCAACTACTGTAAATTTTCTGTATCTCACAAAAAATTGATCTGCATAATTTTTGGCGCAGGTTATCAAAAATTTTTCATCCAATCAGAAATGATCAACTGTTCAAGCTGATCAGAAATAAAATCACACATCTAACAGATATTTGCATTAGGATTAGTAAGTACTAAAACGAGTTCAAGCATGCAATTAAATTATAATCTAACATTCAATTAATAATTGCTAATTAACTTGGTGCTGAGTAATTAATAAGCATAAGTATAATAATATATCTTTATTTTCTCATAAAGTATAATATATTTTATCAAATATACTAGAAGTCTTATACAAATTGATAGATTTACAATTTCAGAATAAATAAATCAAATCTTATTTTTATATAATAACTATTTTAAACTCTTTATCTTTGCTATCTTTGCTTATCAAAATACTAATATCTAAATTAATTATGAAATATATATAAATAATTATGTTACTTTTTAATTCTTTACAGCAATTATATAAATTATTAAAGAGATCATATATAATAAAGTTTGATTATCTAATATATAAAGCTTAATAATTGATAAAAGTATTATTATTATTACTAAAAAGAATCTGGTAATTATATTACACTATATAAGTAAAAATATTCTGATTTTTTGTTTTTTAGAAGTTAGTTTCTTGTATTAATTAATAAATAAAATTCTTGAAAATATTAACTAATTAATATTGACAAAATATCTTTTATCTTATAAATTATATTATTTTGATAGTAATAATATCAGTATTAATTTGGATAAGTATTTTAACTTAAGTTAATATATTTTATATATTATAAAATTAATAATTTATTTTAAATTAAAAGTATATTAATGGAATTGCCACTCAACTTAAAGTATATTATCTATTTCTTTTGAATTACTATTGTATTAGTACTATTTGGTATTAACTTCAAAAGATATAGCTAAATAAATAATATATTTTTAATTTATGATGAAATTATTTAATAATTATACAGCTATTTTGAAAAAATCTCCTGCCTATTTATAATAATTATATATATTTCAAGACAAAATTGATAAGCCTAAATTGAATATATTTTAGTTAACTAAAGCTTAATGACTTTTATTAAGTAATATAGTTAATAATCTGTATTAAATTATCAATTTAATTATTGGTATATTATTAAAAGATTAACAAATAAAGAATGTATTACTCAGTAACTTTATAATAATATTGATCAAAATTTTCTTATTGCAACTTATTTTCTTGCTGATATTTTGGCACAACTTCACCAACTGAAATTGATATTTCAAGCTGAATATGTATTAATATCAGAAGTAAAAACAATAATTAAGACTGTAATTGATTCTATTAAATCAGATTTTATTGGAAAAAATAAAGTTGAGCCAACATATGGAATGATTCTTGCAGTATTTCTTGAAGAAAAAGCTATTTTATTTTTCCAATTACCTCAAATCATGAGAGAATATGCTGTGAATACTTCGATTTTCACATAATGAGTTTGTGGCTGCAATTCAAATTTTTGATCAAAAACAAGCTCCAAGAGATCGCCAATTATATTCATTATTTGGCAATAATGAAATTAAGCAACTAGGCATATTTTATGGAACTATGTATCAGGTAATAATTTAAAATTTATTGTTTTTATATATATAATAATTTAATTTAAGGACAAGAAATACCACCTATTATTGATGCTAATGCACTTGCTCAAGAATGGCGAATAGTTCATGCACTTCTTTCAAATTATTACAATTTGCATATTATTTAAACATGGCATCAAATATTTCAAGAAAATAATGGTTTTTGTCTTTTATATCCGAATACTAATATTCTTATTTCTATTATGTTATCTTTGCCATTTTCAAATGCTTATGTTGAGCGTGTATTTTCTCAACAAAATCTTATCAAAACAAACTACGAAATAGAATGAATATTCATACTCTTAATGATATTTTAATGATCGCTTTAAATGGACCTCCTTATACTTCTTTTAATTATGAAGATGCTTATGTGCAGTTCAATTTTTTGTTAAATTTTTTTATTTTTTAGTATTAATTTTTATACTAAATCAAATTTGGTTTTAAAAAAATATTACCAATAGAGAACTCCAAAAAATTTTTGAGAACACTTGTTTAAGCTATTGAGTTCTCTTGAGAACACATTTTGGCACTGAAATTTCGAACACTGGATAAAGGTATCGACAATATTATAATGTTCTCTTTTTGTTTCGGCTGTTATTTGTATTAACAGAAATAGATTTGAAATGATAGTATGTAATCGTTATACAGTACATGCATATGCATCGGTATTGATTTTATTTTATTGCCATAATCATAAAACAAACGAAAATACATGTATCGGTATATTTAGAACGAGGTGTCACATGTATTACATGTACATCTACATGTATCGGTATTTAATGTTTCACTATCGATTTGGTTTTGAAATTTTTGCTTGAACTTTTATCAAAATGAGAGATTTAATTTTTCTGACCCTCCATATTTATTTAATATTAACGCTAGTATGCTGCATAGTTGGCGCAGAAATTCCCACTTCGAGGCAGTAAGTAATGCATTAAATCCAAAATTGGATTAATAAAATAGCTAACCAAAAAATTTTTTTACAGAAATCTAGCCGGAGCAATAATTGACAACAAGTAAGTCGTTTTTTTTTGAAGATAAAATTTAAGGACATAATCTAACTAGAATTTCTTTAGACTATATGTGTTTGGTGGACAACGAATATCAGGCACAGCCGTCACAGACACAACAGCGGACACAAACGAACTTTGGATACTAGACTTAACAAAATCTTTTGATATATCTTCGCCACCATGGGTTCAAGGCACTTCCACTAATGCTCCCTTAGTTGCATATCACACGGCAAATGTTGGTGGCCCAGAAAATGAGTTGCTTATAATCTATGGTGGAGAAAATCCAAACCCAATACCATCAAGTCCATACGCCGTATATAATACCAAAACACAGGAATGGTCGACGGCTAATTTCGATAGTGCAAGCTTTGTGAATCGACGAAAAGGACATACTGGTGTCACGAACTTTAATGATGCCACCATAATATATTATGCTGGAAAAAGATATGCTGATTTTGATAATCTAGAGAATAAAGCATTATTAAATAATGAATTATTCATAGTATTTACTGGTGTAGATACTTGGACTACGCATGTTCTCCCGTCTGGCCCGGAATTTATAGCATTCCATACTTCAACACTTTTGAATGGAAAGATGTACGTGATAGGTGGTGCATTAGATGCCAATAAGCTGATGAAAATGGATCAGATTCTGGTGTTCGATTTGAAGAAAAGTCAATGGATTTCAACGGTAATTAATATAACTAACTGAATCATTAAATAGCAATGACATGCGAGATTCAAAATAATTTATTATGTTTCTCAGCCAGCAACTGGTTCTGACATTCCTTCAGAGCGTCTAGGACATACAGCAGTTGGCAGTAAGTACATGTACATTAAATTCTTGCTTGCTTCTTGCCTCTATCTCACATGAACACACTTATAACAGCATGGGATAACAAGATTATAATTTACGGAGGAACAACGAATTTCACTAGTTATTTTAATGATCTTTACGTGTTGGATACGACAACTTATCCGTACACATGGAGCAATATAGCGACAAACGGAATTATTCCTAGTGGTCGGACTTCACACTCGATGGTGATGGCTGGAACAAATTTAATCATAACTTTCGGTAAGAATATACATACATGGTTAAAAAGTCAAACAATTTTGTAATAATTAAAGCTTTTTATTTAACTCATTTTCTTATTAGGTCAGCATGTAAAGTAAAATTTTTGAATCCTTTGAAAATTCATTATCGTTATTGTTATTATTAATGGCTTGATGGCTTTTTTTAGGTGGATCAATTGAAAAATGGCTATCCAAACAATACTTTAGTTCTCGATACCACAACATATACATGGCAGACAACATATACACCCAGCAAACTAGAACTCACCACACCCCCCAAACCTAACATCACATATAATACAAACTCTACAGATGGAAAAAGTTCAAATGCTACTCCCTCAAGTTCGGCAACATCTTCTAGTTCAGACAGCACTAGTAAAATTGCATTAATTATAGGATTAGTGGGTGGCATATTTGGTGTCCTTATGTTTGGTGCTGCAATTTTCCTCTTTTTTAAATGGAAAAAACACCGATATATGATACAAAACACTCAGAATAGTACTACTAATAATGCCAATATAGTAAATTCTATTTTTTCGGGCAGACCAATGAAAACAGATGAAACGGGAGGAAGGGATGACATTGAGGAGGGACAGCTTAGGTATATGGATAGAGACTCAGCGAATGAACCTGTTGAACTTTAATTATTTGTAAGCTTGCTAATGCATGATTGTGTAATAAAACTCTTGCCTTTGGTAATAGATACATTTGAATTTTCTTCTATATATAAAGCAATGAAAGAATATCGTATATTATTTGCTCAAGATCAACATCTCTACTCACTCATGCCCTAATCCAATTGATAAAGTTCATTTGAAGATATTTAATAAGAGTGGGTGACATTAGATTTTTGGAGAAAAAAGAACATGATAGCAATAATTTAAAGAGAGTTTGGGAACTGCAACACTATTATAGTTATAGTTTATCACTAAGCAAACTATTATTATTTGTCATTCGGTTATTCAGACGAAAAAATGTTCATTTTATTATTTGTCAACGAGAAAATAACAAAGATCGTAAACTGACAAGTTCTAATCATGCATTTAACTGATGTCAGTTTAAGATATCATTTCACATACATGTACATGTACTATGAAATTGTCAAATTTAAAAGCAACGCCGCCATATCGTTTTTGAGTGTAGAGCAGATGCGTTTTAACCCCTTAATGTTCGAAAAGAAAATTCTATTCATGGTGTAACTTAAATTTACATGCACATGTGAAAGAAAAGAAGATTCGATTCATGGTGCAATCCCAATTTACATGTATATATAAGGAAAGAAAAGAAATTTATTGTTTTGATAAAAATAGAAATCCCTTAAAATCTGTATAAACATATTTGGCAAGATTGACTTTATGGTTAAGATTATTCGAATGAATTAACCAATACTTCATTTCTGCAATTTAAAAAACGTTAATGTGAGTACGTTGAAAACTTCTATATTTTTTGCGAAAATTAAATATAATCAACCTCATTATACTGTCACACGTTAAGTTGACTAACAAATTTGAATATGTCATAAAGTTCGGGAACGAAGACTGAATGATTTTCACAAGTGGGTTTCACTAGGGTTCTAAAGGTCTCCTATGTCAATCTTTCACGAAGACTGAGCAATCAATGACAAAGATAAGGTTTAGAATTATAATTTTAATTTAAAGAAGCGAAATCTACTAATACACTTAAAGAATATTCAACATAAATAATAAATTTTGATTGCTTTTCCAAAACAATAACAGGTATTCAAATAAAATAATAAGAATCGATATCCAAACAATAAAAATAATAATAGTAATATCAAAATAATAATATCGGTATCAAAACAAAATGTAATATCAAGATAATAAAAATCATTATTCAAGGAATCAAACTCAATGCATCGACTTTGTATGGCCAAAGCAGTAAAACCTTCAATTTGTTAAGCACAAAGAGAATTAAAGCTATCGATTTCGTTTTGCAAAAAAAAATAAAAGTCGAAGCATAGTTAGGTAAGAATTAAAAATAATTTTATTTAGTTATTTTTCTTCAAACCATACATCGCCTGTCTTATTCTATATATATATATATATAGTTTTTGTCATTACACAACTGGCTTCCGTTATTGCACAGCTATCTAAAGTGGCAATTCGTTGGTTACGGGTTTTTGCGGGTCAGTAGAGTACAAGATACAAAGAAAATATGTATATGATAATGTAATGAAATCTAATGTAGAATGTTTATGTGAAAAGAAGTAATTAAAAGAAAATGATTATTATTATTACGTTACCAAAAATTAATTATAAATATGGATCACGCAATAAGGGAGAACTTAAAATAAAGATTGTTGGGTAGAATTCTATAACGATAAACCACGCAAGGTAAGAGTTCTAATGAAATACCACAAGCTGTTGGGGAAACAGACGTTAATGTTGATACTACAAAGTAGGAATTTTTGGGATCGCGTTTGTAATTATTTTTAAGTTCGTTACACATTACTCACAGGAGTGCAAAATTAAGAAATTAGGTAATATTCCAGGATATTCAGTGATCACGAGATTTTTCGTTGCGATGGCAGCAATACGAAATTAGCATACGTCAAATTATCTTTAACAAATGAAACCAAATTAATACAAAAAAAAGCAAAATTTCTCTCATAATTCTCTTCGCTTTAAGCATTTTGTTGTAATTTATAGAAGCAGATCAGAAAATATATATGCTAGTATCTTCATTTGATATAAAAAATATTTATTAATGAAAATAAGAGTTTTTATACATCGAAAAGTTCTTTTTTGATATTCGCGTAATTTATTGTAGGTTATGTATAGTTGTACTCTTTAACATCTCATTATAGCAACACCGAAATCTCTTCTCATTATTTTAATGAGCTTCGTTGCATTTATTTTGCGATGGGAGTAACATCTCAATAATGTATCGAGTGCACACACTGTTTAGGTCATTTAATTAATAAGATTTTGTTTCATGTTATATGTGATGCATATTCAATAACAATACATTTACATGAAAAATCAACTTACACATGTGCATGTATAAGTATTTAAACAAATGTGAGAATAAAAAGAAATAATTGAATTAAATTATTCTAAAACAGATTAAAATCGTGGTAAATATTTTTTATTACAAAATGGAAAGCAATAAATAAGTGCTAATATAACAATGAGGCTTATGATAATATTCGTTAAATTTATTGGCAACTTTAAATTTCATGACAAGTGTTATGATTTACTCTCATTCGTATGATATAATAGCGATAAAAACAATACAAGATAAACTCAGTAAGCCAAAGAGTTGCAAATTTCATGTTAAGCCAAATATGCATAAAATTTGCGAACGAAAAACTTCGGCTTAGGATATTTTCGTCTTAACGAGTTTGCCTATAGCGATAGGTTAGTTTTTTAAAAAAAATATAATATGAATATTAATTTTCGTGGAGAGAAATGGAATGCTTTTGAAAATTTATATTTCAATTTTATGTACACACATTAGAATGCCAGATTTTTGATATTTAATTTAGACCCAAAATGACGTAAAATATCATTTTATTTGAGATAGCTGAATGATTTAAGAATATAGTGTAATAGATAAAATAAAATATCTATCAGAATTTAACGGTTGACTGAGGTTTATGAGATTTTTAAAACACAGAATTAAATTTATATAAAAGTAGACTCATCAAGTCTCAGTTCCTTCATTCTCTTCCCTTAATCTACCAGGCAAATAAAAACTCAATAAATTTGACTAAACCAATAATGACACGCAACCTTTCTTTAATTTTTTTCATTTGTTTTGGATTTCTATTTAATAATATTTATGCACAATATAAATCTTATACAGCAATTCCAATTACCAACGAAATCGAAAATGCGTTGACGATGGCACCCAAAGTTACTAAAGGTCTCAACCAAACACTTTACAGTCAGGTTAACATACCAATAACAGAAGAACTACTGGATGACGTTTTATCCTCCGAAGAACTTTCTCAACGTCTTCCTTTCGAGAATTTCGAATTTTTGATCAGAATTCCAAAACAACAATTGAGTTTTAGAGTGAAGGTTGCACCAAGACTATACGGACTTCAATTAACTTTTACACCTGAATTCAGAGAAATATTTATTGATCTAGTTCTTTCCAGTCATAACGATGAATCCCTGAATCCGCTCGTCAATATTAATGACGAAGGGTTCAAAGATACATTTCCCGTATCGTTTCCCTTATCGGCTGCGGGAATAAAAGATTTGGTGTCCTCTTTTAGAATATTTTCGAGACTCCTTGAAGGAAGTTGGAAAATTGTAGTTCCCGCGCAAAAAATTGAATGGGACGTAAAGATAGTTGATAGATCAGGCATTATTAGGATTACTTTTAAACCGAAATTTAAACAGTTCTTTTTGTTGTTAACTAGAAATGCAAAGAACTAAGATGATTAGTTTTCTAGTTGAACTATATAGATGATATATAATTATATATTCAATATTTTTTTTAACAAATAAATTTTAAATAACATTTTCTGGTTTAATTAAATCTATTTATTATACAGTAATCCACCACTGATTTCTTATACTATATACTATAAAACTTGTTTTAGACCACAAGCTTTAAGGGATTATGTAGTAATAGTACATAATTAAAAATCCCGCAAAACAAGGACAGAGTTTTTAGTTATGCCACGAACAAGAAGCAAGGTAGAGAGTTTCCGAGACCAATATTATAGGTAAGGATTGCAGGAATGGTTTTAATAATTACGTATTTGATGATAAAAAAGAACCTATTGACTAAAAAAAATAAAAATTTAATCAATCCTAGAAGCGTTACTAATTTGGAAGATGTCGTTAAAGATAAAGATAGATTGCGCATGGTCAAAAACGCCAGTACACAAGCAAGCTATACCTTCGGCTGCTGATGGTGTATTAATGGTCTTTTTTTTGGAATAAATTTTAAGTAATGTCTTAACATATACTGATAAAAAAGCTCCGACTGCTGTGAATAAATAGTAAAGGGTAAAAATGGAAAAGAAGTATGAATGGCATACATAAAAGCATTATTGAATATGCTTGTTTGAAAGAAAACATGCGAGAGCGAGCAAGCATGAAAGTAAAGAAAAACGTGTAGAAAAATCATGAGAGTATTTATGTGAGTATATAAATGAGAATTCAACAATGACAATAAAATTATATCGGAACGGGTCGACTAAAGGAACCAACAAACGACGAAAATACTGACACTGGTAATGATGCGATCAAAAAAGCAAATATAAATCCTATGTAAAGAGAAAAGTAGGTTTTGCTACGGTGCAGTTCACTTAGTACACAAAAAATGACTTTAGTAATTAAAAACAAATAAAAAATACGTAAATCAATGATTTATAGTTTACTTTATAAATTTACATATTTTTTAGTCAGAAAGTTATGGTTATCAAGTTAATAATAGCCTTTAAAGATTATATTTGTATATATATAAGATTATGAATTTTTGGCCGCATAGCTATTGTAGCGAGAATTTTAGATAATGCGAACTTGTTTAGGACGGCTTTTTCAGATCACGTGCTTGTTTTTAAGGGGTGAACCAATCAAATACCAATATAAACAAAACACGTTAATTTTTGTTTATTTTATTTGTGAAACCACTTTCTGTGTTCTAACAAAAAAAATGTTCCTTGTGAAATTTTACTGTCAAAATTTCGCGTGAAATATATATCCTTAACTCTAAACCTAACCCTACCCTAGGATTCTTAATCCAGTACCCGATTTGATATTGAAAATTTGGTCACTGACGCAGTAATAAGTTTGATATAATGGAAAGGCGAACTTGAAGTTTCACATTTACTACACCAAGATAAAGAAAGTATCGACTGGAAGAAATTATTATATACTTGTGAAAAATTGTTTTATAACGTTCTCCTCGAGACTTGTTGAGCTCGCTGATTATGTTCCAATATCGAATTTAAGCAATCGTATTCATTTTGGGCGGAGTGGGATTAATGCATATAATAAGAAAAATAAGAAAGAAATGTTTTCGTATTCATCGTTAGCTAGATTATCAAAAAAAAAGGGTGGAAGTCCTTAATCACTTGCAACAAAGGAGAGAAGATCAAATAATTCTGGATTGATTAATATTCAAATTGATTATTGCTGCTAGCATTAATAGTAGTGATGACTGATATAGCTTTTTCTTTGATCGAGAGATGATTCCACAAATACAGCTAGATCGATAAAATCAGGTTAGAGAAAATTTCTGGCTATTTTTGTGTTGACCTATTTAAAGATGATTTTTATCTGATTTTTCGAATCTTTGAGTTATTACACTGACCTACTGTTAGCATTATTCCATTAAAATCCGTAATTCCGGATTTCATGAAGGGAATCGTCCGACTGCCAAATATTTCACAACATCGCATAATTTCCGGCGCCCTATTTTTCAGCATCCTCCAGCATCATGTTCGTAACCCGCGCCCGTACCCCTTTTTTGTAGCATTCTTCAGCACACGAGATCGCGTTGCGCCCTATTTTTTTGCATTTTCTAGCACACGTTGTCGATACTATAGATCATGACGGTTTCCCCCCTTATTTTTCTGCATTTTCCAGCACACATCGATAATATATATATCGCGACGATTTCCCCCATTCTTCCAGCATTTTTCAGCACAATCGTTCACGTTCTTCAGTAAAATAGACCACGCCACTCTTTCTTTAGTCATCCTTTACTGCTGCTCGACCTATTAATGTAATAAGAAATTATGTAGAATTAGAATAGTATCACTTTTAATATAGCAAAAGATAACAAAAATGTATAAAACGAATGGCTCTCGGGCCTTTAAAAGAAAAGAACAGAAATAAAATTGCGTACATTACCTTTTCTCCAAGAAAAATACTTGTAAAAATCTTGCGGAATCGTAATTTTAACCTGTTGGTTAGGTTCTTTTCACCAGAAAAGACGACAAATTGGTTAGGTTCTTTAGTCCAGAAAAGGCGAAACGCATCATTGATTGAATGATTTGATTGATCCGAGTTTAAGGCTTTTAGCTAGAAAAAGCACAGGAATAAAAAGAATAGATTAGTTAATAATTAATACACGAAATCTCCTTTACCCTGCCTCATAATTACCTTTGGAAACGCCCATATTGAACGATATCCGTTGATATCACAGGACTTAGACCAACTGATAAAATTGGTCTAATCGCCCTCTCCCACCCACCGTCACAGTTCACAAATTTCCCCAAATCCACGAAACTCCAACCCACCTGTGACAGTTCTTGTCTTAATTTGTATATAAAATGATTCTCTTATGTCTTTATCACGAAAATAATTGTCATTAGAACTTCGTGAACAAATAATTGGCGCATACTGCAATCAACTGCGTTAAGAAAACAGGTTCACATCCTGTAAAATATCCTGGACGACCAAAAATTCTATCTGAACGCGATAAACAAAATTTAAAATGAATTGTTAAAAAGGATCGCAAGACACCACTTAAAAAATTAATAGTGAACTAAATGCACTTACCAAAACTCCATTTCATTATAATACTACTCGTAATCATATAAAATCATTATCATTTGAATCCATTATATAATTCATAAACCTCTGTCTAACTCCTCGTCATAAAAAAAATATTTACAATGGTGCAAAGAAATAAAGAATTGGAATATTGAATGGCACCAAATTGTTTGGTCAGATGAGTCCCGATTTTCTCTTTTTCACTCAGATGGATGTACAAGTGTATGGCGAAACCCTTCTGAAAAACACGTGGAAAGTTGTGTGGTACTAACAGTAAAATATGGTGGATTATCAGTTATGTTTTGGGGATGTATTAGATGGGATGGTGTTAGACCTTTGGTTAGGGTCAATAATAAGCCCGATTCTGATGGTTATGAATTCCTTAAATGAATAATAACGTTTATACACTCTTTCAGCAAGATGGTACTTCGCATTATACTAATTGGTGGAGACGAACTCATAATATTCCAGTTTTGGAATGGGTTGCCCAAAGTCCCGATTTAAATCCAATTGAGCATATGTGGGACCATTTAGACCGTCAGATTAGAAAAAGAGAGTCTCCTCCTACTTCCAAAAAGGATTTAATCAATGCATTGATAGAAGAATGGCAAAAATACCTTTAGATGTCGTACGTAATTTAATTTCCAGTATGCCACAACGAATTATGACTGTTATCAATGCTAAAGGATCACACACACATTATTAGTTTTTTACTAATTTTTCAATAAAGAATTATTTTATAGCTTTTTTGCTTTTGAACTATATAAATTTTAAATGAGATTATTTAGTACAATATATATTTAATTAAAAAAGAATATATAGATACTTTTCAAAATCGTAAATCATGCACGGTGATTTACCTATTTTCTAATATCAGATCGTCGAAGAATTTTTAAAAGAATCGAGGCTCGTGATAAAAACATTATCGCAATGATGATAGATAAGATCGGACCCCATTAATATCTATGATATCAGCAGCATATTCTCCACTGAAAAGTTACAGTATATCAATAAGGCTAGTCCTGATGACTAATGAACATACATAATTCTATATTGTGATAATTTGCTCGTCTGCCCAGAAATTATTAGTTGAAATTAAAAGTGTAGCATTAATGGAGCTAACGTATCATTTATTAGTTTCATTATAAAAAAAAATTGTGAAAATACGTTGCAATGATTGAATCCAAACATGAATTCTCGTCATATTCTTCTTCTATTAATAAAGATTTACAACTTCAATACGAAAGACGAGAAGAGAATAACCAACTTTTAGCTAACTATAAATGTTTGCTCTATCATAAATTAAATCACCGTTATAATATATACGATAGGTCAGTGAAAACATGAAGGATGAAGAATAAATCGAAGCGAAAATAAACCAAGTGAGAACAAATAAAAGTAGACAAAAGTGAGTGGAACAATCGTGCGGGTGATTTCTTTTATATTATTTTCAACTTACTAGCCTATTAATAGTTATATAAAAAGGAAAAAAAGATCTAATACATATAAAAATGCTTTTGATATTAATAATATCATGTGAGAAATACATCGTTGCTACGCGCGTTATATTGATGTCATCAAAATGTGAATACATGTACATACACATAATCATTATAGAGAATAGTCCATAGGAATAAAGAAAAAAATCTTTTCTATGAAATTTTTTATATTGCTAACGTAACAAGAAATAATTAGCTGATCTTATAAAAAAAGATTTATTTATCTAAGTGTCTTATCTTTTGAAATATTAGTTCTTTTTATACATAAGAAAAAAGATATACTGAGATTATATATAAACTAAAGATATTATCTTAATTAATTATGACTTGTAATAGTCAATCAGAGAATTGTAATTAATTATAATAGCTAATCAGAGAATTGCAATCAAATTGTGATATATCTTTAATGTAAACTATAAAGTTTTGAACAAAATAACTATTAAGAATCACTATTCTTTATCAAGAGTTAATAAATTAATGAATAGACTTACAGGTTCAAAATATTTTTCAAAACTAGATTTATATTTAGAATATTATCAAATTCACATAGCTGAGAAAGATATATATAAAATAACTTTTAGAACTTGCTATGGTTACTATGAGTTCTTGATTTTATCTTTTGGTCTTATCAATATA